TGGAGTTAGTAACACTAACTACATTGAAGTAAGATCCTGTGTCCTATATAGGTCTGCTAATGAAGATACTCCACTTGATATGCTGGAGTTATATGTCAAGTAGAACAGGATCTATCCCATTTGCTTCTCTCATATTCACCTTAACTTATATGTATTAGGCTTTTTGTGTGTTGCTCCAGTTATACTATGATAATGCTTTATCTCTTTATACATTTAGTTGTTATTGTTATTATGATTTGTTGCCATTCCTTTATTAGTATGATAATTATTTGTGTCAAAAACATCAATAAACAGTAGCTTGTACATTATAACTAAACAACAATACAGAGAGACACAGCTCTCAGAAGTACATATGCATGTACATGTACATGTATATGACTGCTAACAGTTTCACATTAGCAAAGCTAGTATCATCATGTTTGTAGTATCTATGATATCATTAGCTAAAAAGTACTACTCTATTCCCTGTAAGTACGTACAATGTATGTGCTATAACATTCCAATGAGGTTATGATGCATCCAGAGCAGGTATTATAGCAAATTTATGTTCTACCTAATCCAGACTTCCCATACTGCATGCACATGCATAAGTGCTATCTACCACATGATACTGAGGCAAGAGATGGCTGACAAGGAGAAGAACAAACCTGCTCTAAATAAGAGACAAGTTAGTTTGTCATTAAACAGAAAGGAGAAGGACACTAATCATTGTTTTGCTACAACAAGTTAAGATAATTATGGGTCTATAAGATGCCAGCATAAATACTTCAAACGCACATGGATATGAAACAGGATGTACTTTATACACAAATTTATATGGATGATGTCATGACCAGTGTTCCTATGTTAATAAATTATGCTAATTAATAGTTATGGCTGAGGTAATGGCTGCCAGTAGAATTCCTTTTAGATATTTCACAGCTAGGCTGAAGCAAATATTAAAAGAGTCATCCAAGTTGTAAATGGTAAATTATTAATACCTAGAAACTTCGTAAAATAGTCAATGTCACTTTTGAGGCCTAGTTTGTCCCACTGGGCATGCAGTTAAAGGACACTGTGTTTACTTTTTTAAACCCTCAATAATACAAAAGGTCTTAGTCTTGGGTCACAATTAGGCCTTGATGTGGCACATCAACTAAAGGTCTCAATCTGGTTTTCTTTCCTCTAGAAATAAAAGTATTGTCAAAAAAGATATTTTTAAAGTGTGATGACTGTGATGACTTTTCCTTTAAAACTACTTTTAAAAATACTTGTTGAGGTAAATTATTTGTTTATGCTAGGTCTTCTTAATACACTAAAGCTATATAAAATGTCTTCAGCATGTATGTAATATTTTTTTATTGATTTTTTCTTTTAGCAATTTTCCCATGGTGTTGAGTAAACATGCCTGTTATAAAGTACAGCAAGGAAAAAAATAAAAGCAAAACAGAAAGAACTGGTTCATATTGAAGTTGAAAGAACTTTTCTGCATTTTAAAAGTTTTTTTAAGAATTAAAACTGTATTAAAACTGTATATTGTTTCTAGTATTAAGCACGTGAGCCCACGTGTTGTAAACGTCACTATAAAGTACAAATCATATTGGGTGAAATGAGGATAGCTACACGCCCAAGAGTTACCATGCCTAATCCAGGACTGATGCCCAAAATATTGGATCAGGCCTGATATCAGTACTGGTATAGCCCTGATGGCTATCATTCCTGAATCAGGAACGTTAGTCTGGCCTGATCCAGTATAAATGCTTATCATGCCTGTAGGCCCTGTATCATGGCTGACTCCATGATTGTATCAGGACTGATTGCCCAAAATTGGCAAAAAACCACGGTCCATGTCTGATATCAGGACTTTTTCAGGCTGACATCTGATAGGTGCCAACTCTTGGTGGTATATATCCTGTTTATCTATGATGCCAGAGAACTTGGCTGGAGGCAGTAAGTAAGTGGTGATAACCATTGTTGAGTACAGTGCTATGTAAACTATTAACCATAAGGAGAGAGTACATGAAACATCAAAGCTCGAACACAAATGGACTTTATCAGTGAACCTGGTATTAATAGATATATTCTCTGTCCTAAAGTACGACCAAAGTCCTGTCCAGGTAAAATGAATGCTAATATTGTAATTATTTATGTTATTTTGTAGAAATGTCATGCCAAGTGATTCTTGAAGCCAATCCTAAAGCAGTATCTGGAGATTACACTATTGTGTATCCAAATGGCACTGCATATACAGTTTATTGTAAAATGGACACCACAGACTGTGGAGAAGGAGGATGGACAAGGATAGCTTACATCAACATGACTGAACCTGGAGCTTCATGTCCTGATGGATTTGTCACTAAAGACTATAATAACATTGATCACAGTTTATGTGGGATTAATCTTGGTAGTGGAGGATGTCAATCAACATTGAAATAGCTATCAAGTGTTGTTTTAGTTAACAATAACTAAACTAAAACCTCTTTTAGTGAGCTCTAAAACTAAAACTGAAATTTAATTTCACCAGTGCTTATAACAATAACTAAAACTAAAACTTAAAATGCGAGTCACATTAACTAAAAGTACAACTAAAAATACACACTTGTAGTTAATTAAAATATTGCAGTATACTGACCACTGTACTGTTGGTGGGCTCAATCACATGTAAAAGTTTACTGACAATTCATGCACTGGTTCTTAATTTCAATGGTTTAATTGCTTTGACATTGACTAAAAGAGTTTAGTGAATAAAACTATAAGTTAAACTAAAACTAGAAGCATTGGAAGAATAAAACTAAAACTAAATTTAAAATAGATTTCAGATGTGATAACAAAAGCTAAAACTAAAAATTATTACCATTGCATAACTAAAACTATAACTACAATTATTGTACCATACTAAAAGAACTCTACAAAATACATGAACAAGCAAGATACATGCAACAAGAGACCACCCAACATTGACTTACATGTAGGCCATTAACACAATTAAGCAATTACTAACTCAATCTGTGCTTGCAATTACAATTACAACCACAAATTGTTTTCATAGTAGCATTACTAATATGTGACTGGAACTGACAAAAAGTACCATTTGAATTCATCTTTAAAGTCAAAAAGTGTCAACTTACAAGTGTTTTTTTTTGATAAAGCACTGTTTGCAAAAATTAGCAAAAAACTTTTTACACCATATCCAAAAAGATTATTTCAACTGGACATGTGCAAGTTGACCTTTTACTAACTCAATAATACACCCGCACACTTTTTTCATACATGTAGTAGCATTACTGATAATTGCTTTAATAATTACATTAATCCTCACGTACAGCAATACCAAAGGGCAATGAAAGAGTCCCTTCTAATGCTGCTGTTCCTCATACTGGC